GCATCCTTTAGATCCAAAGCAGCAGTAAACTACCATCTTCTGTGTACACAAGCATTAGAAGAACAATACGCTTTGTCATTGATTTTCATAGATACTTGCTGGCAGCAGAAAGAAGATAATTAGGAATAGTGAATTTGGTTCCAGAATACAGTGGAATAACATGGGAAATGACGTCCTCTTTCTATATCTGTATCCATGACAGATTTTAAGATCCTGCTCCTGAGCATGACTGCATTAGAAATTTTTGATAAACTGAAGGTTTTTTCCCCAAACATGAACAAACCAAGATATTTTTTGTTAATCTCGTTATTAGCTGGATCATTTCACTTGAAAAACCAGTAGGAAACCTAAAGCAGATACACATACCTGCAAGTTGCAACCTAAAAGAAATAATTCTGGCAGAGTTATAAACAAGTGAAAGCTGAATCTTTTAATGAAAAATGCTGGTTAACCTTAACTACAGCTATTTCTGTCTGCCCCCTCCAATAATAATTATTTAAGTGAGCAGGAGGGCTAGTGCTAAGTAATTCTAAAAATCCTGTCTAGTATGTTTACAATACAATGCTGCCCCACCTATACCAAGTGGCAGCTTTTCAGCTCCTGCTGACAATGTTCTCATGCACCTATTTGCTGTCAGTACAAAGATCTCCAGAATGTTAAAAATGTAAGGCCATACTAGAATAAATAATATATCGATTATATATTTCATGGCCAATTTAGTTAAAAAACAGTGCAATTTTAAATTTATCTGAAATTACAACGTGCTGGTTCAAACTGTCACAGAAAGCCATACTACAAAAACGAAAGATCTGGCTAGTTGCAAGTTCTGTGGCATCTGAGCCATAGTATATACTTCAGTCCGCATGCAGACAAGATCAGGACATCATTGTCTTAAGGGATTTTTTGGGTTTGTGGGTACTAATGCTAGGTTTAATATTTGGCCATACGTTTTCAAATACTCCTTGTCATGGGCATGTCAGATGGAAAAGACCAGAAAAAGGATTCAATGAAAGTTCAGAGAAGCACCAAAAGCAGGATTTAGCCTGTAGAGTGAGGCTGAATTCTGGTATTTTCTATCTTCTGGGGCTTTTATCATGGAACATTAATAGCATTATTTAATGGAATAAGTATATTAAAATCCCTTTTGTTCTTTAAGATGTCATTCCTCTTCCAGACAGTTGTTTCTTTTCTTTCATAATCAAAATATCATTTCAAGGCTAGTCCATATATTTCTATGGATTTAAGCACTGGTCCACATGCAAACTGTGTCCCAGGAATGTTTAGCTCAGCTCAGCCAAAGTGAATAGATGCTGCTGCTTACAGCATAGGCAGGTGGACAGTTAGGGAGATTATGCCATGCTGCCAGTCTGTAGGCCCTGAAAGGTGGCTGGCCAGTGCAAGAGCCTGAGAATTATACTCAGCAAAAAGAATGAATCTTGTTTGAAGGCTAATGAAGCAGCAGTGTCAGGGTTAAGGCTCAGGATGTCCCATAGATCTTCATTCACAGTAGAAACAGTGTTGGGAGAACAGACTGGTACCTTGGTCACCAGCATTAGACACCTCACAGAGATGGTGTGCATCTTTGTAGGGCTTGTGTGCTGTTTCCCCTCATGTTTGTAGCCGACATGAGCAAAGCCTTCTCTATGAGATGCTGCTTTTACCCAGTTGTACAAGGTATTTCTCCCACTAAGGGAAAGAGCCCAGCATTTTGATTGCACTTAAGACATAGGGGAATGCTGAAACAGTGTCAAAAGCAATGATGTTACTCTGGTTTTAAATCTACTATGTAGCGATAAGTATATCTAACAGTTATATGTATATTCTCCTTTGGTTAAAAAAAACCCCAAACCACCCACAATTACTTACTATTTTCCATTGTAACATGATTTACAACGTTTAAAGTTGATCTGTGTCTACTGGAAGTTACGATTTGCCTCTTTTTATTTGCCTTTTTGATGTCACAGACTCTGAATAAGCACATAGTCTTTTACATAGCTGTAGACTCCGAATTTATCAGAAATAATTTTTAAAAGAACACTTTGAATTCTCATTAATTTTGCTTTGATGCTTTCTGACAAAAATGGAGTAGATCTGGATGTCCTTTTGCTTTTAAATAATTTTGGTTTTGTTCCTCTAAGCAAGAGAAACTTCTCAGTGCATCACTGCCACAGAATTAAGGCTGGAAGGAAATTGAAATGACATATTTTACAACTGGATTTTGTACCAATTTCACCTGCAGAGCTATCAAGCTCCAGAATTTTTGCTCAAGTTGCTTAAAATAAATAAATAAATTGTAGTCTAGACAGAAATTCAAGTCCTTCAAAAACATGATTTACTAATATTTGTAAGAGACAGGAAAAGGAACTGACCTACATCTGTGTTCATTGACTGGGTAGAACAGGAACCAGTAACTTTAGTATACAGGGAAACTATAAAAGAATTATGTGATTCTGCAGGATTTCCTATAAACCCCATCAGTCTAGTGCAAATTTTCATAGACAAATATAGTAAGGAAAAGTCCCTCAAACTATGTGGATCAGAGAAACTGTGTTAAGATATTTTCATCTCTGCCAGCAGAGGCTTTCAGCAAGGACTGCCAAAAATAACTACTGCAGTCAAGTTGTTCAAAATATACACTTTGTTGCTGATTGCGCTTTAAAATCCTCAATAAAAGTACTGTTGGCTAGAAATGTATTTAAACATCTGGCATAAACAACACCTTTAAGTTAATTTGTGATGGCACTGCAGTCCAACAGGGATAGAAACATTGAATGAACCTACACGTAGTCCAAGAGGCATACGGGGTCAGGAAGGTGGGGAGGATAGGTAGACAGAAATTACCTTATTCTGGATTAGCTCTGCTAGTGTGCGCCCAACACTGTGGATATTGCAAGCAGCTGCTTTCTGTACCACTTACTGCCCCTGCTTGATCACATCCCAGACACAGCTGGCCAGAAGAGAGCTTACGCTTGCAGTCGGGCTGCAGCCAGCCGATTCAGACAACCTCTGTTCCTCTAACTCTCAGCTAAGCTGCAAACCAGTATTTCATCTACCTTCAGATTAACCAACAAGTTATTGTTGCATACATAATGTGGTATATAGAGAGACACACACAAGAAAAAGATTAACCCCAAAAAGCTGCAAATCAGAGAATGGGTAAAAAGAAGAGAAGTGAATAAGGACAGGCATAGTGTTGAGCAAGGAAATGATTTTTCAGCATGACTGCATCAAAAAGGTGGGAGGTTTAAGAATGGAGAATTGATGTAAATTTTTTATTTTTTTGTTTTGCATCAAAAATAAAAGCTAAAATCTTACTGTATATTGAAGGAAAGGAAATGTTGCTTCCATTCGATGCAAAGCAGAATGGTTTGCTTCATGTATTTTTTCACAAAAAGAAATTAATAGTTAAGTTATAAAACTGGAGAAGGAAAAAGAATACCTGAGGGTGGTTGTTGCTTGGGGGGCGGGGGGGGTGTTAATGTAATTCCTTGCAAGTTTAGGATTGTTATGACTTGGGGTCTCTGAGTTCAGTTCACTTCTCTGTCTGGTGGGACTTAACCCACAATTCCCATTTTCCAGCCTAGTGCCCAAACTGTCAATCTCCAGTAAGGCAATGTGGATCAGGCTGCTGTCCATCTTTCTCATTGGCATTGTTTCCAATGGGATAGAACAGGGATATTGATGGGAAGAGAGATGGGAATCCAGGCAGACCCTCTTCTCAGGGATTGTTCTTACCACTAGGTGATGAGACTATTCCCTCTCTATCTCTGAACACAAGGATTTTATTCAAATTGTACCATGTGAAGGACCAAGGATGCTTGCCCCTGTAGTGGCCTCTGGTCTGTACTCACTTGGGAGGTGGACAGTTCCTGTTGTGATCTTTGCCAGTCTTCAGACCATGGGTGTAAACTTGCAGTTCCCACGCTGGCAGGAGGGAATTCTGTTGGGTATGCTGTGGTGGTCTCCCTCAGTTGCTTTTCTTAGAACTGTTCTATTTTAAGTTAAATACTTCAGTGATTACTGAGAGTGGCATGACTATTCAGCACTGGGGCACTCACACCAGAAGTGGGATATTTCAGTTGTAGTTACTATGACTGAAAATCTCAGTCTACTCCATTTTAAGAAGCTAGCATTAAAGCAGAGTCTCTAAGGTCAATGGGAAATTACATTAGTTTAGCCCTATGGGATTAGATAGATAGAACCTCAGTTTAGATTTAGATACATGATTTTAAAGTCCTGTTAACCATTATCTTGGTTATACTCTATATTGCAATTGGCTACCCTGGCTCTTTTACAAGCTCTCTAATCTAGAAGGAAAATTCTGCTAAGACCAATGTGAGGAAGTTCCTTCTGATTAGTAGGAGTCAGTATTTAAATTACTGTAGTCAGTATTTAAATTACTGTAACATTTCAAAACATTGAAGTTCTCTGAAATGACAAGTATGATATAACTGAATAATGGTATATTGGATTTCCCATGCATCTGCCAGTATATATATATACTGATAAAGAACCTAGTCCAAAATTGCCTGTATATATAAAGAAAGTAAATTGAATCCAGAATTCAGTCAGATCAGAATTGTGTTCTGATCCAGCATCAAGCTATGCAACTGCAAAGGGTTACACAGAACAGGGGCAAATGAGAGGCTTTGTTAATGATGCTAGCCAGCTTAATATTTAAAAACTGGGTTGTCTTAATACTTAGAAATTAAATCCATCACATGTCAAAGGAAATTGATTCTGATCTATTAATTCATGTAAACTTCAAAACTCTACCTGTCACAAAAAATGTTTACTTTAATGTATGTTTAATATTTTTTCACCAGAGGACATTTTAATTGCTAGAAGTCATTTTGCACTGTATGCTTGGAAGTGAAAGTGATGTCTCCAATGCTTCGTTCCTAGTTGAGGCCAGCACACTGCAGGGCATAACAGCCGTGTATTTCTTGTTTCAGAGAAGAAAAGAAAAAAATAACCAACCATGTTTCCTGTTTTATTTTTAAACCTTATTCTACTCTAGGAGGACCAGTGCTTGAAATAACAGATTTCAAGACTTATATGGATCTGTTCTTGTTTGGTCTCTGCTTCCTCCACTTAGAAAGTGAAGGGGAAGGAAAAGAGAAATGCTGTCTGTAGACTTGAAAATATATGTCTCTATTAGTAGACTGCTCATTTCTTCCTCCCATCTACATCACAGATATGAAGCTTGTAGGAAGAGATGGAACTGGCTAGCCAGTCATACTAAAATTATGAATACAAATAGACTAAGGAAAAAGTAGCATATGCTTTTTTTCTTTCTCTGTTTTTCTTCACTGCATGGATTGAGAGTAGGGCATGAGACAGGAGCATGGCTAAGATAAAGGGGGTCAGAAAGAATGAGAAATGCAAATAACTGCAAATGCAAATGTGATGTTGCCTTATGTCTTGGCTTGTTACTGCTCTTCTGTATTCTGCAAGGCCCTCAAGACTAATTGGTTTCATTGTCATTTTATTTATATATACATATATACACATTCATTTGGGGCTTAACTAGTAACCTGTAACTATGGGAATGGAGGCTGCCAACACACCTGTGATGACACAGATACTGGTCCTGTGTGTGGTTGTCATCAGAAGTATGCCCTACATTCAGATGGCCGAACCTGCATTGGTAAGTACCTCTGTGCAGCACATTTTATTTCATATTCCTCATAGAATATATATATGTGCACATGTATGTGTGTGTGTGTGCGCGTGTGTGTTTGTATCTCACAGGCGTTTAGCACCATTCCGGAGAGAAATCTGTAACAGCAGTTCCTGGCCCGTAGTAGCTAAGGTCACTCCGTACAGAGAGAGAAGCATTTGTGCATGTTTTGTCAAAATGTTTGTTAATGAAGTATCCCTTTGTTACTCCTTTGCAACTTTTATTTCTTTTCATAACTCCAATCATTTTTGAAGTAAAAAGGTGTAGAACATTCATAATTCTGAACGAAAGTTCTGCTCTTCTGTTCACTTTTATGAGACAAGACTTTCTTGCGTAAGCAAGGTGAGGAAAATAATCCTATTTTCGAAACTGTTATGGGGGAAATGAATTACCGTGATGTGCTTTCTTCCCTGTTGTATGTTTTATGATTCTAAAAATTACACTTGTAGTTAATAAGTTTTTACTCAGATTATCAGTAGGAAAAAGCCGTTCAAGAGATGGAGCATCTTGGGAGATGCTACACAAACATTTATGATTACAGATTATATTATTTGCTTAACACCATTTCTTTCCACTCTGCTTTTTTTTAAAAAAATAAAAAAAAGAATATTTTTGCATACTACAAGTTAAAATTTGGAAATTCTTACTCACAGATCAGAACCTAATATCCATAGTGGTTTTCATTCGCGTTGTGGCCATGTTGATTTTTTTTGTTTATTTAATTTCAGATTCTCACAAATTCCTAGTAATTTCCTGAGATTAAGGAAGAATGGATATATATTCATCTCCTTTTCTCTCCTTTATCAATACTGCAAGACAGAGCACTCAAAACCCATGGAAATCTGTCAGTTACCTGTAGTGATCCCTTAGTCAGATCCATGGCGTAAAGCTCTGTGACTGCCCGGAGCCTCACTCACTTCTGATGAGTTTGATTGCACAAATTGTGTGGTAGGGTGAGGGTTGTGCTGGCAGAGGTAGAGCTGAACAAGGTTCGGCACTGGACTCTGCCTCGCTGTATGCACCAGCTATGTCTCAGCTTACAGGATCTCTCAGCTAGTACTTTTGATTACAGAGGGCTCCGTTGTACAGTCCCTCTATTTAAATAACCCTCCCTGAAGCCTGTGGCAGTTCCAGATGCAGAGAATTTGCAAGAGCAAGGGCCTTGAGAGCAGGTTTTATTGAATGGATAGTTGATCTTCTATTTATTAGCGTTCACTAATATCCTTGGATTGATGTTTTATTTTGTCCAGCATATTAAAATGATTTTAAAAGCTGTATACACTGCACCTGTTTTTCACTTTTTTTTCCATTTTTGTAATGTAATGCATACAACTCCATGTTACATTCCTTGGTCTTGTGATGTAAGTCACATATTACTGCCTGTGCTGATTTTCCTCCCTCTAAGTAGTTCTTCCTCTTAGAATACTTTGAATTTTTTTTATTTATTTTTTACATTTTTATTCCTGCTTTCTGGTGATGGTTCCTGATTGCCTGTCTTGTCTGATAACTGACGTTCATTAATTATTTACAGAGCAAAATAAAAAAAAACTCAAACAAAAGCCTCTATTGCAGCCTGATCCCATCTAGAACTTGTTAAAAACAAAACAAAACAACTTCTTGTTAGCACTCAACCATGTAGTGTTGCCACAAACAAAACCTGCCAGCCTCCTCCTCCTCCTCACTTCAGTGATTCCAGTGTTTGCTGTCTTCAGTGGTGTATATATTCCAGGCATCACTGCAAGAATGCAAACTTCTGCAATGCCAGATAAATACTTGTTGACCCTTTGTCTAACATATTTTGTCTTCGTTTGCTTGATTATCCTTTTATTTTATTTTTTTGTTTACTGCATGTGCAAGTCCCCACTTGCATTTTGGTTTTTGTTTTCCTAATAAGCATTTCCCTCTCTGTATAAAACATTTTATTTACCCAGTTCCTGCTTCTCCATTGCTTTCCTGTATCAGAAATCTTTCTTTTTATTTCACTTACTGATCATCTCTTCCCACACTCGTGACTGTTTCTGTGTATTTCTAATGAAGCATAACCAAACTAAAGTCCTCATGCTGTATGAAACTCTTACATGTAGGATATCAGAGATTACCTTGTAAAATGACCTCTGCTGACATCATCTTGCTTACTGCATGCTTATAAAACTACTAAACCCTGTTCTTGCAACATCTTTCCTAGCATTGAATGTTTAGCTAGTAGTGTTTCATAGACAAGCAGGCAACCAGCACTGCCCAAATTGATCTTTTTTTTGTGTTTGTTTGGTTTGTTGTTTGTTTATTTTTGTTGTTGTTTTTGTTTAATTTGCATGCTGTTGTTTGGTTTCTCCTCACAATGTGTCAATGTGTACGAGACTATGGTGCATCCGTGCCCATCCATCACCGGACTCTTCTAGTTCTCTCTTATCTGTCTTGGTCTTCTGCCTGCCACCTTCAGATTCTCATGCCACCGTTAGCCTGAATCACTTTACAGTTTGTCTTTGGTAGTTTGTTTAACTGGCATCCCTGAATTCTAATTTTCATCATTAACACCTCTCTGGGGCACTCATGTTAGCTGTCTTGTTCTCTAGTAGGAATCCAGCTTCCTGTATGTGGTTAATTACTTCATAGTTGACTATTCTTTCTCCTCCCCCTCTTTATTTCTCCTTTCCCTGAACACCCTTTAATTTTTTCCTGGGGTCTCAAAGGGAATTAACTCTCTAACGGGGATTTAGTGCTTTCATGCCTTGCTTCTTGGCTTTGGCTGTGCCATGCCAAGAAACTGTCTTAGGCAGCGGAAAATTGGGCTTGTGATTAACCAACTGCTCCATGTTTGTCCCTTACTTGTGTTTTAGAGAAGGATGAGGCTGCAATTGAGAGTTCTGAGTACAATGCCACGTCAGTAGCTGATGTGGACAAGCGGGTGAAACGGCGGCTACTTATGGGTAACACTTTTCTTCCACTTCCTTTGTTGTGCTCTCACTTTTGTCTGTATGTGTGTGGGGGGGAGGTTCTCTTTTGGTCTCATTTGGTCCCTTTGGTTTTGGTTTGTTTTGTTTTTTTTAACCCGACTTCATCTGTGTGGAAAGGTCACCAATTTTGTTAAGTTCTCATCTGTTGTATGGCTTCATTTCTTGTTTTTAAACTTTTTTTTTCCCTAATGCTGCAGCTTTAATGTTCAATTTCTTCTGCATAGAAAGAAGCTTTTGCCATTAACCCTACTTACCTTACGCAAGCTACTTCCTACATTTGATTTGTGTGTGTTTGTGTGTATGTGTTGCTGTAGGATTCCGAAAAATCTCATGTTGCAGACCTGCCTATTGACTTAAAAGTGGATGATGATGATGATGATAATATAAAACAATGTTCTATTACGTATGTGGTGTTAAATGAAAAACTGTATTTGCCTACTTAAAATTTGCAGTACTTTTGATTGAAATGTAAATATTATGACTGGAAATTCATTTATTTCCTTTGTGCAGCTATGTTAGTAACCACTGAAAGATCTTCCCCTAGTGACTAGTGAGCTTCCGTATGTTCTTCGTTCAAGACTGAAGCATGGCTTGTTTCTCTGTGTTGTTGGAGCCTGAGAGCGGAAGGGATGAGGAATTTCATTGAACAATGAAGATAATTCTTTAGCTTCTGCTCTCATTGAACCCATTGCACACTCTTGTGCTTGTCTTCTTCATGTTACATTTATGGCCATTAGTGAGAATGACCTTTTGGGAATAGAAAGGGTAGAGTGACTGGACCTCTGCCAGACTCTTTTCATATGACAAAGAGCACAGGGTAGCACAGACTGCTGAGTGATGCCAATGGCTTGGAGGTTTTCAGGTCATTTATTACTCTGTATTTTCCATTCTGATGCCCTACTCACCACATATAATTATTTCCACTAGGTTTTAAATATAATGAGAATTGGTGAGAGGTACCCAATGAACCATTTACAAGACAGGGATTTTTCACCCACAGAAGAGCTTCTGGCATGACAAGATTCTGCTCTCTTCCCTCCTGGTCACTATTCCATTTCTTAAAACCATTGAGTCCATTGCAGAGTCTGTCTTGCTAGCCCTTGGCAAGCTCAGCTCTCGCTGTAAGCATCCACACCTATCTGGAAGGACTGCCTCTAGGAGACCAAAAGCCTCACTTGAATATTTAGTTGGTTGCTGGGCTAATAGTTTCAGCAGGTGACAGTATTTCTAAAGTTTCCGTATCACTTGTATCTCATCACCCATGGCAAACCACCTGCTTAACCACAAGCCAGCATAGTAGTACTGTGTAGGAAATGGTACAGTGTTATAACTCTGAAATGGTATTCGGTTATAATATTGAAGTAAAAATTTTCCCTTGTGTGAAAATCTGAGCATATGTTCCTTTATTTTTAGATTATCTGTGATTGCTCATTTGCAAGTAGTTTGCAGACCTAGCAAGTGACCCATATCAATTTATTGTTTAATTATTGTCATGATTTGGGCTGGACTGGCCACTGAGGCGAACGATAGATGTTCTCCCTCACCTCTCCCTTCAAGGAGAGGAGGGAGAGACAGAAAGAGACTTATGAGTTTGGAAGGAACTAAAGTACTTTCCATTCATAACCTGATTTGTCAGCTGGAGAGCCGAGGAGTGACCAGTAAGTCTCACTCACCCTTTAATAGCCCTATATGGCCAGTGTGAAAGTCTGACGGAGACTGAAGATTAACAATAGACTATCATGGCCTGAATGAAGCCACACCACCACTGAGTGCTGCCATGTCCACGCATCCTTGGCGTCACTATAAACATGGGTCTTATCACTCTGAGACCAAACAGTTTCTGCACAATATGCTGTTAATGTCAGTAGTTAGAAGAGGCTTAGCTAAAAAGTAAAATTACTGAACAGAAAATCGGTTCTGTTTTACCTCAAACCAGGACAATGATGCACTGTTTAAATTAATTTAAGCTAACAAAAGCTATGAGGCAGCTCATCATGCTTTCTAAAGGTGCTA